GTTTTATCATGACATATAATCAAAATGAAAGTAATATCAATCTTAAAATTAAAGAAATAATTATTTGAATAATAAAACTCGTTTCTTAATTACTCAGTTCTTTATGGGAAATAATAATAAATTAATGATCCATGAAGAGAATATTATTTATACTATTGTGTTGAAGTCGATAAACATGATTTGCACTTGCAATTATTAAAGTTTAAATTTTCTTTCAGATATTATTAATTATTTCATTTTTCTTGTGATCGAGGACCAAAGTTTTGATTACTTTTTCATTTTGTTTCTAAGCTTTAATGCTGAAATTATTCTTAATGTATTTATTTTGTTTTCTTTATCTGAAAAGAAAAAATAAAGAAAAAGTTTATTTTAATAATTATAATTACTTATATATCATACATTATAACAAATTTAATTACACTCAAATTTCATCATATCCATATCCGAGGATTTTTTATCAGATATAATTATTCAATAAAGTTGTTGAATAAATAATAAAACCAATAAATTTTTTCATATTTTTTTAATAAAAGTGATTGCTTAAAACAAAGCCACGAGAGAAGTAACCAAATCCATAAACATCCATCATTATCATGTATTATTGAATAGTCCGGATATTTATAAAAGGAATTTTTAATAGAGAAGAAAAAAATAAATATTTTATTATTTAGAGTTATTCTATATAATTAAATTTCTTATAATTTTAATTTTTTTTTAATTTACACAACTCATACGTAAAATTTATAATAAAACATTTATTTTTATTTTTAAATAAAATGCTTACACCATCATTCAAAAACATGAATAATATGCGTGGAGAAACATAAACGGTTCAATTCATATGCGTAATGTGTTTGATCATGCTTTTGAAATTTAGAGCTCAGTACTTATAGTACATAAAAACTTTTTTTAATTGTATCAAATACAACTTTTGATAGTTTGGTAAATAGTTTTTATTCTAATTAATCTTCATTTTATTAAATTTATTCACCTGCTAATTAGCTAATAATGTTTGACCTTTCGTATTATTACAAGTTAACTTTTTTCTTTAATTATGTCAAAAACATGTGTAATAGAGCTCTTACACTCTCAACCTTTTTCTTTTGCTTTTGTTGAATATCATAGAAGAAACAATATATCAATCTTCTCTTATAAACAATTTCTTGCATATTCACCAGAGAGAAAACCGAATACATAATGAGTCATTTTTTCTCTAGTTCATGATATAAATAATTATCATTTTTGGGTCAAGTGTAAAAAATAAAATCAAATCTGTTGAAGACTTTGCTTTTCATATCTTTGCATATACAATGAGGATATTATAGATGGATAAAGTTGAAAAATATTAAATGGTTTGAAATCTAATATTTTCAAGAAAATTTGATTGCATATTGAATGGGATAAGTTCAAAATTTTCAATCCAAATCCTACTCGTATGTTTAACTATGATTTTTATGGTTCTTTCAACTATATATATATCTCAATTTAAAAAAAAAAACAAGTCATGAAATTCTTAGAGGTTTTACACGAAAAAATATTCACTTATTTCTAAAAGTAAAATTTTAAAAAAATTATTTTCTTTTATCTTTTCTATCATTTTTTTATAATCTAATAAATAAGATCAATCTTACTATTTTAAACCATTAAATTGTTAAAAAAATAAATGAGAAAAATAAAAAATAAATTTCTTATTCTTCTTTAAGGCTTTGTTTGGTTGAAGTGATTTGAGAGAGTGGAATTGAGAGAGTGGAAAAGGAGGGATTTGAAGAGAAATGGAGATGATTAAAAAGTGAAAGGAAAGTTTATGCGAAATTGTGAATGATTTGATTGATATGAGATATAAAAATTATAATTTTATGTTGATTATTTAAGAAAATTACCATTTTACCCTTTGTATAAAATAAGGTTCAAATGATTATAAATATAAATTTTTAATTAATTATCCATATTTTAACATTGATTATATATTTAAAAGAAAAAACAAAATTAAAAGTGTTTGTAATTGGAAACAAATTTAAAAAATTAACTTTTTTTAGATAGTTATTAAAAATTATATAAATAAACAATTACAAAATTATGTACATTGCATATCCATATTCAAATAATGTTGACATATTAAATAAATTATTTGACTAATAATTAAATAATTATAAAATATAAAATAATAATTAATATTGATTGATAATAACAAATAATTATGAAAACTAATAATATAATTGTACATTATTATTTAAAACAAATATAAAATATAGTGAAAATAGAATAATAATTAAATGAAACATTACTAAAATTATAAACTTATGCACACTAATGCTCTTCAAACAAATAATTATAATGTTATTCATCTTTTGCAGATCAAGTCCTCCAGATCATTCAATCACTTCCACTCAAGAACATGAACAAGCTGGGAGAGGCGAAGATGTCCCATATATCCGACTCCGAATGTTGAAATGTTGATGATCGTCTCATCACATTAATTTGAGATAAAATAATTACAATATAATTTTCTACTTTAAGAATTAATAATATAATTAAACTCAAAATTGAGAATACTCTTATACATTTTGAACTCTTTTGGATAAATTTCGTTTCCCTAATTTTTGATAAAGTTAATTTTAATATTTAAAATTATTTAACATTTTGAATTCCGAAAGGTTTTCTCTAATAACAAATTAAAAAACATAATATTCAAAAAAATATTTTAAGATTCAGTCTCGGGTTGCATTTAGCTCGAGCGACTATATCTCGCTCGAGCGAAAAAGATCCTGATCGATTATAATTTGAAATGATCGATCATAATTGGAGGATATAATAGCGGTTCCTCTGTAATCGCTTATCTAAAGTGTATATTAGATAGCGGTTCCGAGTGGAACCGCTATCATATACAACCATATTTTAATTTCTTGAGTCTCGGGTTGTGTTTCGCTTGAGCGACTATATCTCGCTCGAGCGAAATATGATTCTGATCGATTAGATTTTCGAAATGATCGATCATATTTCATAATTTTTTCAAATAATTAATTCTAATCGATTATTTTTCTAAATTATTGATTAGAATTGATTAGTTTTTCAAATAATAGCTTAGAATTGATTAATTTCTAAAATATATATTAAAAAATTATAATTAAAAATATAGATTATTTAAGAATATTAACTATTGTAAAGATAAAGTAGAACATGGGAGGAGATGAGGATGATAATATAATGATAGAAGTTACAAAAATGTAGAATTGAGAAGTTTGAAACAAAAAAAATTAAGAAAATAGAGATTTAATTACACTTTTAATAAATTGAAGATAATTACAATATAATTTTCTACTTTGAGAATGAACAATATAATTAAGAAGATCAAGTGTAATGTTATTGATGCTAATTTTAACAATAATACAATAATATTATTTTCGAAAATGCCCATATTCATGTGAATATTTTGATTATTATTATATAAAATAATTAAAAGAATAAGGTAAATAGAAAAGTAAAATGCATGGTTATACCATTTTCCTTTTAATCTATAATTAGTTAGGTATGAATCAAATGTAAAGTCTAATGTTATTGATGTTAATTTTAAGAAGATCACAAAATGTAAATTAAATAACTATAATATAAATTTCTACTTTGAGAATGAACAATATAATTAAACTCAAAATTGAAAATACTCTTATACATTTTTGAACTCTTTTGGATAAATTTTGTTTTCCTAATTTTTGATAAAGTTAATTTTAATATTTAAAAGTATTTAACATTTTGAATTCTGAAAGGTTTTCTCTAATAGCAAATTTAAAAACATAATATTCAAAAAAATATTTTAAGATTCAGTCTCGGGTTGCATTTCGCTCGAGCGACTATATCTCGCTCGAGCGAAAAACGATCCTGATCGATCATAATTTGAAATGATCGATCATAATTGGAGGATATAATAGCGGTTCCTCAGCATCGCTTATCTAAAGTGTATATTAGATAGCGGTTCCAGTGGAACCGCTATCATATACAACCATATTTTAATTTCTTCAGTCTCGGGTTGTGTTTCGCTTGAGCGACTATTTCTCGCTCGAGCGAAATATGATTCTGATCGATTATATTTAAGAAATGATCGATCATAATTGGAGGATATAATAGCGGTTCCTCTGTAACCGCTATCTAAAGTGTATATTAGATAGTGGTTCCAGTGGAACCACTATCATATACAACCATATTTTAATTTCTTCAGTCTCGGGTTGTGTTTCGCTTGAGCGACTATTTCTCGCTCGAGCGAAATATGATTCTGATCGATTATATTTAAGAAATGATCGATCATAATTGGAGAATATAATAGCGGTTCCTCTTTAATCGCTATCTAAAGTGATATATAAAAGCGGTTAAGATTTAACCGCTATTAGAAGTGATATATAATAGCGGTTATGTTTTAACCGCTATTAGAAGTGATATATAATAGCGGTTAAGTTTTAATCGCTATTACAAGTGCTATTATAATAGCGGTTAAGATTTAACCGCTATCATATGGTAGAGGGTATTTTCTTCTTCGCAGATTAGCGAAGAAAGTCTCTCTCCCCTCTCCCCCTTTTCCTCGCCTGCATTTCTTCGCAAATCTGTTCAACCAAATGTGGGTGAATCTCGTGCTTCTGTCTTCGTCAATAGTATTTCGTCGCAAATCAGTTCAAACAAACACAGACATAAGAGTAAACTAATTCTTAATTAAAATAAATGTATCTCTTTTCATATATATATATATATATATAATAAATCATATATTTTAATTACTAAAATATTTTTCTCTAAAGTTTTGAATAGAGTTTGATGTGGACCGCCAAATTATTCCTTCTGAAAATAATGTAATACACTGCTTCCCCACTAACATGCTTTCACAGTTTCACCAGCCAAACAATTTTCATAAATCCCTTTCCACTTTTTCCTATTCCTTAATTTCGCCAAGGGAAGAGAGACAGAAAACAGTACCATGAGAGAGATATATAACATAAAAGCCTCTTCAAAAGCAAAGTATGTTAATGATAATGTCTCTCATTTTCTTCTCAACTCTTCTACCTTTACTATTCCATTCTTCTCATTGCATCACCATTACAGTTGATGGATCTTCAGAGTGGAAGAACCCCACCGTTCACATTGGAGATTCCATTAGTGAGTACTACTACAAATTATACCCCAGAAAAAAATAAATGGAACCTTTAAAATATGTTTTTTTTTAACACTTGCAACTAACATCATTACTCTATGTCTCAGTTTTCAATCACAAGCAACACTACAATATCTACATTTTCAAGAACCAGAATGCCTTTGATCTCTGCAATTTCACACTAGCCACTCTTCTCACCAACCCCAACAATGCCTCCTACATGGTAAGACCCTTCAAAACTTTCCATCTGGGTGCTTTGAAAGTTCTTTCAAAACCATTAATTGATTTTGCAGAAACAAGATTAAAAACTATGAATAATGTTATATCCATCTGTCATATTTTTATTATCAAAGTAAATTTCATCTTAATAACCTACGTTAATCTCTAATATAAATTTATATTACGAGAATTGTGAAGATGCAAAATTTAAAAGTCTCCTCATGTAGGATGACCTAATCTGCTTTTGTTCTAATATCATTTTTATTTAACAGAAATGCCTATTATCTTAAAAAGATGAAATGTTTAATGCTTTTTCATTCAATTGCTAGAATATTTTTACCAATTACATGTTTTCAGTGGCATCCATCACGCCCTGGTTTCTTCTACTTCAGCTTCGATGATGGGTCTCTCAAAGCATGCCAAGCTTCTCAGAAGCTAGCCATTGAGGTCACTTCAGCAGTAGTAGCAGCCACACCACAAGCTTCAATGCCTCCACAACTTTCACCACTGGCTGATCCACCTCCATTATCTGGTGAGGTGTCACCACCTCCTTCCTTTCCATGGCATTTTAATACTCTAAAGGAGGGTTCACCTGGTCCTTCACCTTCATCAAATATGGCAACAGCTCCATTGGCACCATATAAAAGTGGCAGCATACCCTTCATCAGCAGTAATCCTGCAGTGCCTCTTCCCACTGATGAAGTTGACTCTGCTACTATACACCCTCTTCCCACCTCTACTGCCCATGAAGGACAGGTGCTTCTCTCACATTTTCTAACACATTTTTTTCATATGACCTAATTTGATCAAATTCATGTTTCCATCTAAATAATAAATGAATAAAAAATAGAACTTATATCTGTTAGTAGAATTTACATACACTCTATCTAACTAGGTTTCAAAAATAATAATCTGCACGTATATTATGGTCACAACATTAAGTATTAGAGATTGAAAAATATTTTTAAAAATTTTAACATACAATAACAAACTGTTAGAGTACTAAGATCGCACTTGCAGCTCTATCAGTAAAATTTATTCTTAAATTTCTCAGACATTGAAAATCATGATCAAACTGCACCTACGATAAAATTTGAAACTTTGTTTTCAAATAAGAACAAAATAGGCTAGTGGGTTTGGGGATATTTGTGGTTAAGAGCAAAAAAATAAAAAACAAAAGCAAAGTGTAATAATCAAAAGTATATATAATAAGCATTTATTTTCTCACTCTATTTATAACAGATTGATAAATTGATAACTATTCTGCAATTGTCAATGTACAAATCTCCAACATGATTATAGAAGATGGACTATATAATAGAACAAATGTTGGTTATCTGTTTATGTTACTCTACTTGTCCTTGATGATCAAGGAAGCACATGATAAAAGTGTTAACAGGTTACTGATTTGGGTCTATTACATTATTGGTGGCTTCAGGTGATGATTGGATCATTTGGACTTCTAGCAGCTGTGCACACCATTTCTTCACTCCTGCTATAAGATGAGTGAGATAGAGAGAGTGTGAAAAAGGGTGGCACCAGGGACTTTGATTGAGTCTCAACTCAAGTAGCTTTAAGACATGATTATACCATGTATTAAGACGTTATTACATTTTCTATCAATTCGTTTTTAGCACTTTTTGTTCTTGGATTTGGAGCACAATTGATCACCACATGCTTTGATATATGCCTCCCCTCACAACATTTCAGTGCGTCACTTTCTGATCTTGGTACATTTTTGGGGTCCCTAACAATACCTATTTATTCATAGTGAGCCCATCCAGCTTAGCCTAGTTGACCAATGTATGGTGCAGTAAAGCCACATGCTGGTGGGGGAGTTATGAGGTGTGCTGTGTTTCTTCTTCCCCACATGGTCACCTGACAGGAATAAATTGCTGGTGCAATAAAGCCACCGTTCCAAAACTCTCTTCAAATTAGTCTACAAGTTTGCTTCTGGTTCAGTTTCAAAATGAATCTTTTGAGATCTATATACGAACTACAAGCTTCTTCTTTATGCATAATTTGAATGCAAAATGAAACAAAATAGGAATATAAAACTTTATTTTTCTACAGAAATAATGCTTCAAATGTTTATTAAATTTGATGATGTATGAATTTGACGTGTGAGTTGGGTAAGGATAGTAGGGCTTGCTTCATATGGATTATTTCATATATATACTTTAAGAATGATGTGTTGATAATAATAGATCTGTGCAATATACACTCAGATAATAAAAATTGTAACCCAATATATTAATATAATAATAATTATTAGAATATATTATTATTATTATAATATTTTAAGTTGTCAACTAGTTATGTATATATCATCATTCATTAATAAAATGAGTATATATATATATATATATATATATATATATATATATATATATATATATATATATATAAAAAGCTTGTGTTCACTTTTTTACCTTAAAAAATTGTATGTTTTTTTCTTTTTAATTGTGAAAATGATTAAAGAATAAGGAAAATATAAAAAAAAAATAATAGAATCACTCAATCTGTCATTGTTACATAATTTATTAATATTGGATCTTTCAAAGAAATTTATTGGGAAGATACAATATTAACGAGATTTAAGTTCAACCCACACAAGAATTGATATCACTTTCAGTTTAAAATCTTAAGGTGTTAAGTTATGGATCATATTTCTTTATATATTCCTCAATTTTCTCATTCTTAAACAATATAAAATTTAAAATTGCACTTATATTTTCTAATAATTGATTTGTTTGATTTTGTTTTATATTTTCTAATAATTGATTTGTTTGATTTTGTTTGATTAGATTAAAACTTTTAATTTTTTTTATTCTATAGTTGAATAAGCATATTAGAAACTCTATTAGATGAAAAAAAGAGTTTTATGAACATTCAAGAGAATTTGTTTATCTTTTCTCTAAGGATATATAATCAATCCATCTTAAATTCCTAGTATAACAATAAAATAATTCTTTTTATAAAATTAAAATATTGATATATTTCAGCTTAATTTATTTCCTTCAACTTAACTTGTTTCTAATCCAAATAATTTGGGGAAAAATAGACAAACTATTTTTTACAATTTTAATTGAATCAGATAATATAACTTAGATTTAAAAAGCCAAATCATAATCAAATTTTCTAGAACACAAATCAAATCAAAAGCCAAAAACTAAATAAACCAACAAATTTGTAAATTTTAGTAGATTGAATCATATTTTAGTTGTGTTATTTTGAAAGTAAATTCACCATATATATTCATGCACAAGTAACTTTTTTTATGAAATTATCAAACCAATCATAATTTTGTACATAAGTATTTATGAAACTTCTTTTATCAATTTTTTTATTTTTTAAATTAATATAGTAACTTATTTTAATATTTTATCTAAATTTCGGTACATGTATGGTTTGATTAATGTATGAACTTGCATTTAATAACAATCTCATCAATAATGATGAAAATATGTTTGTGATAAATACACTTTTTAAATTCATTTGCTTACTTAATTCTTATAACGGTAAAAACTTTTCATTTTAATACTCCTTTTGTTTTTAAATAAATGTTGTTTTTTAGAAAAAAATATATATGTATTTATTTTTTAAATTAATATTACATTATTTATTTTTTACCATATCTTTACTTTTTAAAAAATTAAAAAATAATATATTTCTATATTATACTGTATTTAACTATATTAATATACTATATAAGAAGATTATCTAGATAAGTAGATTGTAACTTGTATGAATAAAATGGTACACGATTTTATTATTTTCTATTAATTCTAAAAAAAATATAATAAATGAATCTGATTTTATTCTCAAATTGTACTCTCAAAAATTTTAGTATGATAATAATTACGTTTTGTGCGGAAATAATAATATAAAAGTGGCTGTAGTTTAGTGGTAAGAATTCCACGTTGTGGCCGTGGAGACCTGGTCTCGAATCCCAGCAGCCACAAAATTGTTGGCATTAATTTAAAATTTTGATCTTAATAAATCTGTTTAAATTATATAATGAATTAAAGTGTCTAATATTTTTCTTTTATGTCATCCTTTTATAACTTTGAAAGATTAATTACTTTACTTTAATAATTTAAAATTGAAAATTAATTATTTTAGTTTACCAATTTAAAATTTTAATGTTTTTAATAAATTGTTACGTATTTTGTTTTGTAGATTTTATCTTAATAAATCTGTTTAAATTGAAAAGCGAACGACAATGTCTAATATATCCTTATATAATAAACCATTAAAACTATGTTTTATTTTATTTTGTTTAACAAAAAAAAATGCTCAAGCAAACTTCAAAATAAAATAAAAAAAAATCAATTTTTAATTTTCTACGTAAATTAATTTTGATCAGCAAAATTTACACATAAATGAGGCTCTATCTAATACTATCGGTTGAACTAAATTGAATTCGTAGGATAAAAAAGAAGCAAATTTTGTAAATCTTCACTTAAACCTTTAAATAATTTTCATACAACTTTCAACCTATAACAATACTTTTATTAATTCTCACTTTCAAATCCAACGTCTCAATTCAATATATTACACAAATTAGTCATCTATCACATCAATTTAAACTACAACAATTTATTAGTTTCAACAATTTCTAATTTAACATGTTTCTTCTTAAACACAACCATAATTCGCAATTTACCAGCCAAATTCATGATCCAAACAACCCAACTCATATCTCAATTTAATTTTGAACAATTCTATTCTCACATACGCAGTTTAATATCACTTTTAGAAAAAATCACAAAATCATCACAACTTACCTCGACATTCTATACTAGACGGAAATGATAAGAAGTCATATATGTGTTTTAGGAAAGAATTAGATTGTAAATCAATATTTTAATTAAGTGCAATTATGCATCTTGATGTGGTTTCAGATAAGAATGAAATTGTGAATTCAATTCTTTAATTAAGTGTACTTGGACATTGTCAGGCATTAGTCTCAAACATTTAGATTCAATACATTTGAGTACTTGAAGAGTTTCATGTGTTTGTTTCTAATTTTAGAGTTCTTACTATAAGAATTCACCTAAATACTTGTTATATGAGATTCATGGGATGAATTTGAGAAATGTCTAAAAATTTAACTATACCATTGTTTTTATAGATAACTTACTTTATATTATTATATTGTGTGTTTAAAATTATGATCAACATGTTTTTATATCTTAACAATGCAAGACAATCTTATAAAAAAATAATAGAAACTAATATATGGAGATGACAAAACTGATCAAACTTGATGGGTTAAATTATTATTCCATTGTAAATACAATAATACAACCCCATTAAATCAACTTCTGCGATAAGATGGGTCAACCTCGTAACTTGCTTATCTAATAAAAGAAATTATTTTAGGCAACATAAAAGTGATAAAAATTTTAAGGAAATTTATTATAATTTGTGAGAAGAAAAATAAAAAAAAAGTTTATTCACTCACTTAAAACATTTTTCTTTTCAAACAAGTTCTTATTAATTGTTCTAAATTTCAATTTCCTAAGACAATATGTTAAAGCATATTGTTAACATTAGATACATATATAAGTGGTTAAATTGTTAACAGACAAATGGTGTACCTAATTTTCTTCCTGTACCCCTGTAATTAAAATAAATCCTAGTTTACCCTTCATTAAAATATGTTCACATTTTATTTTTAAATTGAATATTTCATAATGTATTCCAGATTGGTTGTTCTAGAATGCATTCTTGGAACAGTCAATTTGAAAATAAGTTCTGAAATACTCAATTCATGATGTATTTTTGAACAACCAATCTAAAAATACATTCAAAGGCAATCAATCTCGAATATATTTCTAGAATAGTCAATTTGAAAATGAATTTCGAACATCCAATATGGAATGCATTTTTCGATTAGATATTTCAGAAATGCATTGTAAATTTAATTTTTCAGGTTTAAAGATACATTTCAATATTGAGCGGTTTGAATTGGTATACTCACTTTTAGTATAGTTTTCATGTAGTGGATACAAAATATTAACAATTTTTCACATTATGGGTTGAAAACAATATTCAATGGAGGTGGAACCACAACAAAATAAAATTGTAGGAATTATGAAGGTCCAAAAGAAATATGAAGATGTAGAGAAACACAAGGGAATAAACTCTTAGGTTTCAAATAAAAATTAATAAAATGGTATTTTAATCATTTTACATAAATTATGGATATACAAAAAGAAATTACGAGATACAAGAAGAATGAGTCTTAAACTTATTCAAACAATTATAAAAGACAGCAAATTAATTACATAATAAATCAACTCATTAACATGTCAATCCATTATTTGTCAAGAAAAACTAAGATACTATCTCCTTATTCTTAATATAATAGATCAACTCTTAGATATTATACATGTTCTAATTTTTTATAAACTAAAAATAAGATGAGTTAAAACAAAATAGTTTAATCCATTTTATCATCTTACTTGCTCATAGATATTTTAGAATATATATATATATATATATATATATATATATTATTATTTTAAAATATATTTTGAGTTGTATTATTTTAATGAATAAAAATTATGATTTTGTAATAATAAATTATTTATATATAATTATTATATAGATACGTTCAAGTTTATATTATTTTAATTAATAGTGGGTTTTGTTACATTTTATCTAAATTAATTTTAATATTTTATTTCAAAATTCAAATATTCTAGTATGAATTATATATATATATATATGGATTAGCTCCTTTTATTTAGGAAGTCCTTATTATCCACTGTATAAAAAACTAAAAATGGGAGAATTAGGGAAGGATGTGGTAATTTGTTCCCATGAAACTTTATTTATAAATCTAAACTAACAAACCATTTATCTTTTCAAGACACAGACCACCTAAATCAAAATTCTAATAGGATACTATTAACCACTTTTCATTATATTAAACTCTTTCATATAAGAATTATAAAATCCATTTTACATAATCATATATCAATCTAGTAAATTAAACAGAATTTCAGTTTTTAACATAAATTGTTCTCTCACTTTCTTAAATTTTAATTTCAGAAAAGTTCCAAAATCATTTTTTTAAAATACTTCTGAAAAGTTTATTCCGGAAAGTTTCCAGAAACCTTCCAAAAAAAAAAAAAGTCTTTAAAAAGCTAGTCCCATAAAGTTTTTTCAAATAGTGAATCTAAAACTTATTTACATTAAGGATAATATTATATCTTCATATGAATATGGTGTGCATAAAAAATATATAGGAGTGCAGGAAGAAAAAGCCCTCTAATTATTGTCCGAAAGTGTTATGGCCCAAGGCCCGTGGTTAGGAGAGGTGAAAAAGGAAAAAGCTACGCGTAGTTGTGTAATATTAGCAACAAATTTGTACAAATAAATTAAACTCCTTGTCTCGTGTTTAATTAAATATTGAAACTGCTTAAAAATCAGATAATTTTAAATTATACATAAAAAAATATAAGAATTTTGAATTCTAGATACTATCAAATTTTAAATTTATCCTTTTTAGTGGATTTTTTTTATCAAATATAACTTTGACTAATAGCTTAAAAATATGGTTGATTGATATTTTTGAATTGTTAAATATTATTTAATATTAAAGTAATTTTATATTTGATTGTATATATAAAATATTATATTTAAATAAGAAATTAAAATTTAATTTATTCGAATTTCTTTATTCAAATAAAACATTTAAAAATAATTCAAAATAAAACTATTTAAATTTATTGAAAATTATGAAATTTTCAGAATACAAGGTTAAACTTTCAAATTTACCTTCCTAATGTTTATCAAAACAAAACACATCCTCTTCTATCTTTGTAACAGTACGTAGTTATAAAATAAACAAATAAATAAATAAAACATAATAGGGTGCATCAATATTACAATAAAAGTTTTTTTTTTCTATGTTATTTAGTTTTACATCTTTCCCCAACTATCATTAAAAATCAAATTTTCCATTGTAAATTTATTTATGACTTAAATATATTTTTAATTTATACAATTACTGAGTTTGATTTTGTTGTTTACAATTTTTATTTTATTTTCTATGTTTTTAAAAATTTCAATCAAAATTTATTTTTTATAATAAAGTAAATTAGTTTTTGTATAAATGAAACATTTTATAAATATTTGTTTCTCTAATTTAAAATAATTATTTATTATCTTCGTCATTTATTTAAGATAAATAAGTAATTTTTATTTTAGTGATTATAAAAAATTATAATTATATCACTTATTGACAGTACATCAAATCACTTTAACTTTATTCAACATACAAATCATTATTGATTTGATATAGTATTAGACATTAAAATTTGAGTTTTCATATTTAGAGACATAATTAATAAATATTTTTTTACAAACATTTAAATATTTTTTGTATTTGGGACTAAAAAAATATTTACGTTTTTTTTTAACAATATGTTATAAATAAAAACAGAATAAACTAATGAACTAACATTTTTTTAATTAAAAGTGATAACTTTATTTTTATTTTTTCTTCAGTCAAGTCATTTCTTCATTTACGTTTTTTAATTTAACATTTTCGATCACAATTAGGAAGAAGTTAATACCCTAAATCATACATAATTCAGCATTAAAAAAAGTAAATAACAAATTTAGTTATTAAAGACATAAATTTGATGATAACTTAATTAGTCCTTATATATATATATATATATATTCAGTTTCTAAATATGTAAATAAATATATATAAAAATTGATGCTGAACTTTAAAAATTCATATAAATTGCTAAATTTTATTAAATATAATGTAATAAAAAAATTCACTGAAACCTGTAACCCGGGAGTTAAAATTTTGAGCAGTGTTGAGTAATTTTAACATCCCGCCATATCTTGGCGCGCTTTATTCATCACTCACGAGAATCTCGCGCGGTCACGAGAAATACGAATCTGATCGCGCTTAAACACTACTACCGACAATGCAAACTACAGAACACGATATAAACCTAAAACGCAGTTTCACGACGATAAATAAAATGAATGTGGCACTTTTGCTGTCCCGAAAACGACGTCGAACAGGAACTGCTCCTCGTGTGTCAACAATTTCACACGTGTCTCCATCACCACCACCATTATATGTATCCAAGTTCATAATGTCAAATGTGACGTTCCTACATGGTGAAATATATCATCATATTTTTTTTACAATATAAATTTAGTGTCCTATTTTCTTTATTTGAAATAAAAAAATAAAAAAATTTATATCAAAGATCTCATCAATTAATAAAATATGCATGGAGCTTTGAATTTTAAGTTTAAACACGTTCTAAATTTCAGGTTTGAGTATTTATATATATATATATATATATATGAATTGTTTTAAAGTTGAATATTAAAAAAAATTATAACACTAAATTGTTGAGATATTTCGCTTTCTACCGACGAAAACAGTGGTCTCCCCAAGCTGTCACCCACTCAGTAACGTGGGCCATCCTTTTTGATAAACTTTCTGGCTCCGTTCATAATTGAAGACGGGACCCACAAGCTTACGTGTCAAGTCTTTTTCGTTTACCTTCGTAATTGAACAGTGGCCCACAGGCTTACGTGTCTGTCTTAGCACACGTGGCAAATAACTCATCAAGAATCATGAATCATTTTATATTTTAGTATCACTGCTACTCTTACTGAGAGCAACAATCATATGGTAATATATGTTGCGCGTCGTTAATTCAGTGACGTAACACGAGTCAGAAGATGAAATGCATTGGGCCCCACACCACATAGCCTAGGCTATTGTCGGTCCTGAATTTTATGTTCTGTTTCATGACAATAATGATTCGTTCAAAATAATAGACCTAAATTTTGTGTTTGCCTATAAGAATTCAATACTTCGTTTCAATTCAAATGTGAACAAACAAGTTAGTTAATTTTTATGTTAATCAAGATAATTAATATTATATTAATTATATTTTAAATTTTTAACTATATTATTATCAAACATTATGAATATTTGGATGAAAAGAAGGTTAAAATAATCAGGATACTATTAAAAATAATATTTTTATTGGTTTATATAATAAATCTTAAACGATATATATATATTAAAAGAATAGGAAAATATGATTAACATGAACTTTATACTCAAGTAAACCTTCTTAATTAGAGTTCATTCATATCATGGGGTTGTTACATGTTTGTGAGCAAAATTTAGAATTGGTTGGTTCTTTCTCTGGACAAGAAAGATTGATTACTTTGGAATCACCTTGTGGAGATGATTATCCATCAATTATGAATTTTTTTTTTTTTTTTACCTTTTGGGTAGGTACACTAAGCATCCAATGCATTTAATCTTAAATCTTATTACTTTATTTTCATAGACATCATTCTTATTATAAAAAGAAGTAGAAAAATAGTAAGTGTGAAAATGATTAGAGTTATTACACCGACACTGTGATTAACATGATGAAGAGAAGTTCCATGCAAGTAGTGAAATTCTATTGACATCATTGTTCCCATTTTTGAAGTGGCCAATCATAGGATAATATTTAAGGAGGCCTTCAAACAATTCAATAGGTTAATTGTTACATCTTTTTTTTTAAGATTATCTCTATCACTTGACTAGGTATGGCCAAAGTTTTTCATTAGTACCTATTTATTGGAATCTTGCCTAGTTTACCTAAATGTGGAAACTATAGCTCACTAGCATAACACTCAAAACTTTCAGCCTTTTTGTTTATTATTATCAATTTCATTTTGAGTTACTTTAAAAACAATGGTTATACTTCCACGTGCGTGTAACATATGATAAAAACGGAAAACATTTTTTTTTTATTAATTAAAAATTATGATATACTTAATTTAATTCTATAAAATAGTTAAAATAAGATGATGATTATAATTATTTATATACTATTATATTATCACATAAAAATGAAATTTTATATATCTTTTATTTTGAACAAGATTTTTCATGTTATAATATCATTAGTTAATACTTGTAAAATAAATAAAAGATATTTTTAATTTGGTAACATTATTTTATAGAAATTGATATAATCAATATGTTTTGAAGAGCAAAGGACAAAAAGAAAGTACAAGTATCTAATAAAATATTGCCAAATTTTGGAAGAAAAAAGAAAATTAATTAAAGGAAAAGGATTGAAGTAATCTAGTACGTTTGTTAAATCTTAATTTTGGTAAGTTTGTAATTTAAATGGCTTTAATAATGGTGTCTAACCTATCTCAATACTGAAGATCAAATTAATGGTCCCCTTCACTAGTTGTTAATTCACCAAACTCCCAACTTCATTTTGATCTTATTACGTACAAAGGAAAAACAGAGTGAACGTAAAGGGTACAGGAAAAACAAAGTTACTGAATAGTACGTATGTTGCATGCATGCATGCAACTGAAGTTTTATTTATATCGGAAAACGGATAACGAGAAAAACGGAATTTGCAATGAAACTTTTTAGTTTGACTTATTCAACACTTCTCCTCAAACTAAAAATAACATGAAACATCTACAACACCAAGATTATCTCTGAAACGTTTGAATTTTTCATTTTTCAAAGGTTTTGTTAAAACATCCGCCACTTGTTCCTCAGATTTGCAGTAATCAATCTCTAGCTTCCCAGCTGCCACTTGCTCCCGAATGAAATGGTATTTAAGCTCTATATGTTTACTCCTACCGTGTAGAGCTGGATGCTTTACGAGGCTTATTGGCGATTAATTATCAATCAGTAACTTCATCTTTTGCACCTGTTCAACTCCCAATTCTCTCATCAGTGTTGTCAACCAGATTCCTTGGCATGCTGCATTGGATGCTGCAACATATTCAGCTTCGCAACTTGAAAGAGCTACGATGGGTTCTTTCGTAGAGCTCCAAGAGATTGGTGCTTTTTCAAGAAAAAACACATACCCAGCCGTACTCTTTCTATCATCCCTATCACCACTCCAATCAGCGTCAGTAAACCCAACCAGTCTGTTTTCTCCTTTGGCAAACATGATTCCCAGTTTCAATGTTCCATGAAGGTACCTTAAAATGCGCTCTACAGCAAGTAGATGAGATGCTTTTGGTTCCTGCATATACCTACTAACCAAGCCAACACTCAAACTAAGATCTGATCTTGTGTTGCAAAGGTATCTCAGGCTGCCCACGATACTTCTATACTTGCTACTGGATCCACGTTTTCTTCGTCGGGACTTAGCTCAAGCTTCAATCCGGACTCTGCAGGGGTGCTTGCAGAGTTACTCCGATGCATCCCAAATCTTTTTACTAAGTCCCTCGCATACTTCGTCCGATGTAGCAACATCCCAGTGGGTGTTCTCTTGAACTCTATGCCAAGAAAGTAACTCAAGTTTCCCAGATCAGTT